ACACACTCAATGTGCTGTACTTTCTATTATTATTATTATTATTATTACTGTTATTATTATTACATTCGTGGGAGGGAGGGTAACACTAAACTAATAGGGGTCATACAACGCTTAGGAAATAAGAACTAGAAGGCAATGAGATTAGATCGAAAGGGAGGGTGGGTCATATTCCTTGAATCAAGAGCCCTTCGCCGGCATCAAGGCGCATCCCTTGTTTTCTATAATGAAATGCTTACGGTATCCCACACCACGTTTTCTTTTACAATTAACCTTTGTGATGAACTAGTATGGCAGAACGGCAACAGGTGTACTTATTAGTGAAAATATATTCTCTCAAACTCTATTTAGTTTCATAGATAAAATAAAAAACACCTAATCTTAACATCTGCGAGGAAACAGATTAACGAAGGGAGGATCCAACTTGCACTGTACCTTGCGTCTTATAACCCACACGGATTTAGCACTTAACATATAACAAAAAAAATGTACAGACACATATGGCTAAACACCTAAAAATAACCTATTACCATATGTAAAGCAAATTCCCACTATACTAAATTTATTTATCTAGGGGCTTTCTATAGATTATGTCACTGATGTTTGCTAGGTCTGTATAAATTGTATCATGTACTTTTAGAAAATGAAAATTATTATTATTATTATTATTATTATTATTATTATAAAATTTATTGTTAACACTTTTACAAGGCAGAGCTGAGTGAAGGTTAATGAATAACGATACTCACTCATGATTTTTTCCCCTCAGCGCCTGGCTGACTGATTTGCGGATGTAGGATCAAGCCTCCACCACTGCTTGCGCTGAATAACCCACGCGGATTTAGCGATTCACCTAAAAGAGGGGTGGGGGGGGGGTGAAAGCTACTCCTTCCAAGGGACCCAGGGCCACGTCTCAAATATTCACTTAACTGTTTACAAGTCGTAATCACGACATACCACCGGGAGATGCTCAGAAGTTGATTAGGTCGTTAAGTTGAGTAGAGTTGCGTAGGTCGAGTAGGACGAATTGCTGTGTAAGTCGTTCAGCTGAGCAAGATGAGCTGTTGTTTAGGTCGTGTTGCTGAGTACGTCGTGTTGCTGTGTAGGTCGTGTTGCTGAGTACGTCGTGTTGCTTTGTAGGTCGTGTTGCTGAGTACGTCGTGCTGCTGTGTAGGTCGTGCAGCATAGTACTTGGTGTTGCTGTGTAGGTCGTGCAGCATAGTACGTGGTGTTGCTGTGTAGATCGCGTTGCTTAGTACGTGGTGCTGCTGTGTAGGTCGCGTTGCTTAGTTTACCTGGAGAGAGTTCCGGGGGTCAACGCCCCCGCGGCTCGGTTTGTGAGCAAGCCTCCTGGCGGATCAGAGCCTCATCAACCAGACTGTTGCTGCTGGCTGCACGCAAACCAACGTACGAGCCACAGCCCGGCTGGTCAGGAACCGACTTTAGGTGCTTGTCCAGTGCCACCTTGAAGACTGCCAGGGGTCTGTTGGTAATCCCCCTTATGTATGCTGGGAGGCAGTTGAACAGTCTCGGGCCCCTGACACTTATTGTATGGTCTCTTAACGTGTACTTGGTGTTGCTGTGTAGGTCGCGTTGCTCAGTACGTGGTGTTGCTGTGTAGGTCGCGTTGCTTAGTACGTGGTGTTGTTGTGTAGATCGCGTTGCTTAGTACTTGGTGTTGCTGTGTAGGTCGCGTTGCTTAGTACGTGGTGTTGCTGTGTAGGTCGCGTTGCTTAGTACGTGGTGTTGTTGTGTAGGTCGCGTTGCTTAGTACGTGGTGTTGCTGTGTAGGTCGCGTTGCTTAGTACGTGGTGTTGCTGTGTAGGTCGCGTTGCTTAGTACGTGGTGTTGTGTAGGTCGCGTTGCTTAGTACGTGGTGTTGCTGTGTAGGTCGCGTTGCTTAGTACGTGGTGTTGTTGTGTAGGTCGCGTTGCTTAGTACGTGGTGTTGTTGTGTAGGTCGCGTTGCTTAGTACGTGGTGTTGCTGTGTAGGTCGCGTTGCTTAGTACGTGGTGTTGTTGTGTAGGTCGCGCTTTCTTAGTACGTGGTGTTGTGTGTAGGTCGCGTTGCTTAGTACGTGGTGTTGCTGTGTAGGTCGCGTTGCTTAGTACGTGGTGTTGTGTAGGTCGCGTTGCTTAGTACGTGGTGTTGTGTGTAGGTCGGTTGCATTAGTAAGTGGTGTTGTGTGTAGGTTTTGCGTTGTTTTAGTACGTGGTGTTGTTGTGTAGGTCGCGTTGCTTAGTACGTGTTGTGTAGGTCGCGTTGCTTAGTACGTGGTGTTGTGTAGGTCGCGTTGCTTAGTACGTGGTGTTGTGTGTAGGTCGCGTTGTTATGTACGTGGTGTTGTGTGTAGGTCGCGTTGCTTAGTACGTGGTGTTGTGTGTAGGTCGCGTTGCTTAGTGCGTGGTGTTGCTGTGTAGGTCGCGTTGCTTAGTACGTGGTGTTGTTGTTGTAGGTCGCGTTTGCTCAGTACGTGTGTGTTTGTGTGGTAGGTCGCGTTGCTTAGTACGTGGTGTTGTTGTGTAGGTCGCGTTGCTTAGTACGTGGTGTTGTTGTGTAAGTCGCGTTGCTTAGTACGTGGTGTTGTTGTGTAGGTCGTGCAGCATAGTACGTGGTGTTGCTGTGTAGGTCGTGTTGCTTAGTACTTGGTGTTGCTGTGTAGGTCGTGTTGTTTAGCATGCGGTGTTGCTGTGTAAGTCGTGTTACTTAGTATGTGGTGTTACTTAGTATGTAGTGTTGCTTAGTATGCAATGTTGCTATGTAAGCTGCGTTGCTTATTAAGTGTGTTGCTGTGAAGGTAGTGTTGCTGAGTACGTCGTGATGTTGAGGTCCTGTTACTGAGGTCGTAATGCTGAGCTGATCGTGGTGCCGAATAGGTAGTGATGTTAAGGTGGTCATGCTGGCGAGAAGGTCGTTAAGCTGAGCAGCTGTTGCTGAGAAACTGGTGCTGCTGAGGATTATGATTTCCATAAGTTAATTCTCTTACATGAATTAACGACATATTAATACAAATTAGAAAATATATTATCATGCGATTTTCCAAGCGACAGCGGAGTGTATTTGAAGGTCACATTAATGAGTCCTTTGATATTCCTTCAATCATATTAGCTACAAGTATTATTAATCACCAATAATATTTAACATTACTGTATACGATACATCGTCAATATTCAAAAGAATTAAGTGGTGAATTGATAATGGTTCAGAGCAGACCGAAACGTCGTCTAAAGTTTTCTCTCCAAACTTCTTAAGGTTGAAGAATATGTACTTATATTTTTCAAGAAGTGTGACGGTGGACACTGTTGACACACTACTGACTCAATAGAGGTGGACGATTTCTGAACAAAATTTCCAATTTGTGAATAGCGATTAAGACTGTAATCCTGCATACACATACTCCATGAAACAACCACGATCCCTACTCACCTTAGCAACCTGCATAGGACCCCGTGGTTGCATACAGCATAAAAGAGCCTCTCGCAAGTCAAAAAGAACTGCATATTTCATCTTCGCAAAAGCAGCTCCAGGAACGCTGCGGTGCGAAACCGAGGGAAGAAAATTCATAAAGAGTGTAAAAAAAAATGATCCCGTAAGAGTAAAACAATACCCCACAGGGGTAAAAAAAAAAAAATACCCCACAAGGGTGTAGCGGGGGGAGGGGGGTTAAACCACCTTCCACAAGGGTGTGGCGGGAGGTATGTTAAGTAGTGAGCGGTAGGGACGGATGGGAAGAGAACGAAACAGAATGAAACCAGGTTTATATTGTGTCAGTGACGCTTTTTTCCTCAAGTAAAAAAACAGTCCGCGTTTTATTTCTCTGGTATGAAACGACTATTTGAGCTTCATGTCTCTCGGGAAAGCTGTTCGGCTTAAAACATAAGAAAACAAACGGAAGACCATTCACCCCATATAGGCAAGTCCTTCTAAAACCCAAACCCACTAAAATTTTTGGGCCCCAACCCATTTAAAAGCTGTCGTCGTCGTCGACAGGAAGTTGTCGCGTCAAGGAAGCTGTAGTCTTCTGCAAAAAGTTGTCGTTTTCGCGGGAAATTCTTCTCCTTATTTGAAACATGTGTATACATTTTTTCTAAAGGTTTTTTAATCAAGAAAAACCCTTTCTTCCCAGTTCCCAGTTTCTACATCAGCAACACACCATTTTCTTTAAACTTTCCCTTTTTGGAAGTCACCTCCTTTCTATCTTACAGTCCCCCTTTCCCTTAACGCTTTCCCCAACCTTTGGAGCAAAATTTAAAGGGTCAATTTGGCGCCTGAAAAAGTCTTTCCCCAAGTTCCTGATGAATTTAAATCTAAAATATATTCTCCCCTAAAAAAAATAACTTAAGTCAAGCTGCATAAAGTTTGCAGTGCTGAAACTCGACTCGCGAATTTAAATAAATATCAAAATGTACTCCGTGTTTAAATTTACAATTTCAATAAAAAAAAAGGGGGGAAGTTTCTTTTTTCATAGTTTTTGCATTTAACAAAATGATTTTTCATAGGATAGGTAAAAATATCTAATTCATTTAAAATTTTTCCAGACGTTTTCACAAAAAACCCGGGCATAAATGAGCCCGTGTTATAAATTAAACAAATGATAAAAACAATTAATTTAAGCAAAATTTTATTTTTTTTTTTACTTTTATAAAATATATATTTTTAAAAAAAGTAAAAATCGTCCCTCTATCTGGTTTAGCTTTTTTTATTACGGAAAAGTCTTTTTTGTTTCTTCAGGGTCGTTTGTTAACAAGGTCGTTTTCACTTGACGGCCAAAGGTACATCATTAGACTAGCCTTGTCAAAGGTACCAAATGTAACATATAACAAAGTAACGCCGCATGTGTGACAAACGCTCTTCCACCAATTCATGAACAACATTTTTTGCAAACTTGTTCATATTCCCAGAAAACTTCAAATGTATATTACCTGTGGCAGTATGAACCAGCATATCCTTATGTTTCAGTCGATGAACTTACTGCAATATCCGACGACTATCCTCCAGATATTCTTGTGAACAGCGGCTCAGCGTTCGGATCTTAATACGCCCACAAAACATCCAAACAAAAACAAAAACATGTACTGTACCTGGTGACGGCCTGATGGTTCCCAGTACTTTTTCACTTCTCACATTTCCTTACCTGAAGAGGTGAAAAAAATAATTAAATGTAAACTACAACACTCAGTAACTCAGTATAATTTCATTACAGGACAAGCTATTAAAATGTGCCAGGGGGAAATAAGATTGAGCGAGAGGTGATGAGGACAGCTTGAAGACTGCGGTGGCTGGATGTAAGGTGTGGAAGAGGGTGTGGGAAAGAAGCAGGGTATGGGTGTGAAAGACCAGTGTAGTACTGAATGTGTATAAATCTATGTTCCGTATCTGGGTGCCGAGGGAGCGTAAATGTGGATGTTGGCGTAGATGTCTGGATGTCTGCTTCGCTGAAAACGGAGTGAAGGAATGGTCAGGGTGGGAAGAATTGGTGGTGGCAGTGTGCGAGAAAGAGGAGGTAGAGTGGAACGGACAGATGTTGGAGCACAGAAAAAGACGAAGGCAGAAAGCATTAAGCTAGAAATAGCGTGCAAAGATAAGGGAAGCAGAAAAAATAGAAAATGATAAAGCAACGGAAGGCCATAAAAAACTGAAGCTGATTCACAGACATGTGAAACTTATTAAACTATTGATCCTTGAAGACCTCAAATACAGAAAAAAATAGACATGTATTAGCATAGTATATGAGAGTAACTATTTTTGGTCTTTACTGAAGCAGTGGTCCAGTTTTTTTTTTTTTTTAAGAGATTTTACATTTGTTCCTGCTGTATTTCTCATATCTACTTGTAGGAGGTACACTAAGTTTTGGACCACAGATATTAATACAATGTTCTCTTATACGGTGCCTCTGCTGTTCTGCTTGGTTCATTTTCCACTTCCTCCCGTATCTTACACACCAGCCTCCACACCATCACACCAGCCTCAACATACCATCACAAACACCCCTCCATCTCTGCAAAATCACCCTCACCACAACACCAACTGCACACTCACCACCACTAGCACCATACACAAATCACGCCTGTGGGTCGTTTTTGCTTCGACAATTCAGATATGATACATTATGCAGCCGAGGACAGGTTGCCTTGGCGGGTGCCTCATGGGCCCTGCACACGGCATGCCTCCATCAGGAAGACACAGTTCCCTTCTTATTCTGGTAAAGTTTGAGAAGGTAGCCTCATGACGCAGATATATGGCCACCGCGGCTACTAGAGACCTGTAATCACTAACGTCTACGCCACATCCACTTGACAACCCAGACCAGTTGGAATAAATATAATTGCAGATGTGTGTGTGTGTGTGTGTGTGTGTGTGTGTGTGTGTGTGTGTGTGTGTGTGTGTGTTTATTCTTAATAAGCAGAAATTACCGAATAGGCCGAACTCCCTGAAAAATTTAAACTTTTTCCCATCTTTAACTGATACAATATATATATATATATATATATATATATATATATATATATATATATATATATATATATATATATATATATATATTATGCAAAACAACTACTCTGAAAGAATAGAGAAATTCCAAGCGCTTTCGTGACTACTCACATTATCAAGGAACTATGAAAGTAAAGCATCCAAGGAAGCTATATAAGGGGTCTGGCCAACACCTCACTATCAGATCCCACAACGGTTAAACACCTGACGCGCGCCGACCCAACTGGATAGGTCCTTTGCACAACTCACCCACAAACTATTCTACCCAAGAAAATTTAAAAATTGTTTGTCCAGTGTATTATTAAATTCTTCCCAAATTCTATTAATTATAAATGGATCTAATTTATATAAACCAAAGGAAATATTCATATTGTCAAAACTGCTTTTTATGAAACAAGATTCAATTATATTCCTGTCGACCATGGACTTGCTTGATACTACTTTCATGGTCGACAGGAATATAATTGAATCTTGTTTCATAAAAAGCAGTTTTGACAATAATATGAATATTTCCTTTGGTTTATATAAATTAGATCCATTTATAATTAATAGAATTTGGGAAGAATTTAATAATACACTGGACAAATAATAATTTTTAAATTTTCTTGGGTAGAATAGTTTGTGGGTGAGTTGTGCAAAGGACCTGTCCAGTTGGGTCAGCGTGCGTCAGATGTTTAACCGTTGTGGGATCTGATAGTGAGGTGTTGGCCAGACCCCTTACATAGCTTCCTTGGATGCTTTACTGTCATAGTTCCTTGATAATGTGAGTAGTCACGAAAGCGCTTGGAATTTCTCTATTCTTTCAGAGTGGTTGTTTTGCATATTCTGAAATCACCTGTTTACTGTGATCTTATTGCATATATATATATATATATATATATATATATATATATATATTATATATATATATATATATATATATATATATAATCTGATACATGGTTAAAGGGATACATAGCAAGATACAACAGACACACCGCCCCTGAACTACAATCGCTGGAAGAAAATACTAGCTACTCTGCGATTCAGTTTCCTTTACAAGTCTTTTGCCTAACTTTTACATGACATCGGACGTCATCTTTTCCCAAGTGTCGGGGGGAGAGGGAGGTCCTATGAACCTGTATTTTATAGACTTCGGGGACTCCTTGAAGCAGGCAGCTGCACTTCCTTCATTCCTGCTGTATTGTGGATGCGCACAGACCCACACTACCTGATTGTCATCTTGTTATTTCTGGCTGGAATCGGATCTGTATAGTTAGGGTGGCTTCCTTATTACTGGGCATCCACCTGCTGCAAAGCTTTTCTTGATGATAATGTTAACCTCTTCATGCCTTGTGATTCTTTTCTCCGATGTACTACCGCAGATACACCTGTGTTCAGTTAAGACAGGGGCGGCAAGATGAAGAACAACAGCAATATGAATTGTGTGAGGAAATGCATTGGTTCTCAGAGGGGCTCCAAGCATAATGATAATAATTGTGAAAATTGTTGATACACTTGCTAGTATATATCTCCCTTCCTCAATTGCTAGCTGCTTATAATTAGCTTTGTAATCTTTTTTAACTTTCACCAGTATTATGAGAGGATGAGCTGAACGGCACCAGAAGTTCCACATACATAGCATTACGAGGGAGGCAGAGACGGTGCAGACTGGAAGGGAGAGGTGTGCCTTTTGTAAGGAAAGAAGATGAATAACAGAGTTCCTCAAAGGAAGAAGACTTTCGAAAGAACGGAAAGTAACATTGGCTAGAGAACTAGAAAAAGTTGAGCTCAAATTTAATACTTCATACAAAGTCAGGAAGAAACAAAAGGGAACTAAACGCCATAAGTGAAACAGGGGAAATCCAAAATACTTCTTCTCATATGCCATATCTAGGGCAAAACCAAAAATAGTATTGGGCCTCTGATTAAAGAAGACGAGGCACACAATGACTACAATAAAGAAATAAGCGTAATACTAAAGTCCCAATATGACTCAGTGGTCAGTGAGCCATTAATCAGCCTAAACGTTGAAGATGAGTTCTTTATGAACGAAACAAAATGCTACAGACATCTCCATAATCTCTGGTATAACCCTAACCCCACTTGACTTCGAAGAAGCGCAAAGTGCACTGACAATGCACTTTGCGCCAGGCCCATTCATGTAACTCCATGTTTGTCACGAATTTCAAGAAACCCTTATCACATGTCATAGATATGCCATGGGGAAAGATCCTAGGCACTGGAATCATCCCACTGACATAGCTCCACTCCAAAAAGGTGGCAGTAAAGCAACTGCAAAAAAACTGTAGACCGATAGCGTTAATGTCTCGCATTATCAAGATTTCTGAAAGGTTTTAAGAAGTAGGACTGCCAATCACATGGAATTACAGCAATTAAACAACCCAGATCAACACGGGTTCAGAACAGGTTACTCCTAACTCTCGCAACTGCTGGACCATAACGAAATGTAACTGGATAAACTTGAGAACAAGCAAAATGCAGATGCAACAAAGTCAATAGCATACATTGACTTTGTAAAAGATTCTGACAAGTGTGACCATGGGGTAACTGCACACAAAATGCATGCAAGAGGAATAATGGAAAAGGTGTACTGATAGATATTTAACTCCAAAACAAACAGAACCCAAAGAGTAATAGTTAACAGTGAAACCAGGGGCTGATTCAGTGAAAAGTTCTGTTCTCCAAGGTACAGTACTCGCCCTACTTCTCTTTCGCGTATCATATGAGGGTGGCATCCATTGATGGCACAGAGAACCTCTAAAATGACATAACCCAAGTCTTCAAATGGGCCACTGACAATAGTATGATGTTCAATGAGGGAAAACTTCAGTTACTACGTTGTGGAAGGATTGAAGAAATGAAAACAAGATCGGAGTACAAGCAACGGAGTGTAAGCAAACCACCCTGTAGAACGCAAGTTCATTGTGAGAGACCTGAGAGCGACAATAATAGATCTCAAGCCTATGACGATACTCTTAAGGTCACTCGTTTTCTGAAGACTTGAATATTACTGTATACAAAGGACCCTCTCAAGGAGGGAGAAATTGTTGAGATGGAAAATGTACAGAAAACCTTCACAGCTCGTACATACTCAGTCAAACACCTACCTTTGATATACCTTTGAAGAGTTTCGAGAGTTTATTCACTCTCTGAGCCCGGCCATGGGCCAGGCTCGTCTGGTGCTTGCCTGGTCAACCAGGCTGTTGCTGCTGGAGGCCCGCTGCCCCACATATCCATCGCAGCCTGGTTGAAGTTACTGGGAAAGCCCAAGATGTACCACAATCTACACCTTCACACTGAAATCACAACATATAACAAAAACCTCGGCAAACGGTGCAGGATACCTTCAATGAAAATCCTGAGAGCGATGATCAAACTGAAAACTCAATAAGTGATAAGGGGCCACGACTCTTCAACACTCTACTTGCATGCGTAAAATGTCTTCAAGAGGGTACACGATAAGTTCCTCAAAACAGTTCCTGATCAGCCGGGTTGTGGTGCATACAGTGGACTGCAGGTGGTGGACACTGTCTGCACCACAATCAATCACGCCAGCAACCAGAAGGCCTGATTTGGTATCGCGCCGTCGGAGCAGTGACCTCCGGACGGGACTACAGGTAACATTCATGTATCCGCCTC